AGGAAGGGAGCCATAAGTCCCTAAGGTATGCACCAAAGACAAACCTTTGCTTTCTCAATTATTTATGCCAGCTGAGGTTTTACAGGCTGAATAAATCCATAACTCAAGTTCATTCTGAGCAGTCAGATTCTCCAGGGGGAGTTGCCCACTTGCCTATACACACTTGTGTAGTCCTCAAAGAATAACCAGAATGTAACAAGACATATGTCATCCAATTTATCACCTATCACCAAGGTGTTAACACAATGTTGATCACAGGCAACATAGTGAAATAGGGAAGTATTACACTACCACCAGCCAAACAAATGGAGGGAAGCTTTTTGGTGCTTAAAGGCAGTGGTATCATTAGGATAGTGGTGTTCCAGAATGACTTGGCCTGTTAAATGCATAAAAATTTAAATATTCAATTTTTAAAAACACAAATATGTATAACACACACTCTTGAAGCTTAAGAATCTTTAAGTAGATTTGTTAAAAACAGGCTGCAATCTAACAATGTGAAGCTTTGAATAAATAGAATTTTATAACATCTGATTTTAGAAGTAATTTACAATAAAACTATACATGTTACAGCTTTTTCTCCAATCATATCTCTTTCAGGAAAATTTTAGAGTATAATTTATGTGTGACAGGCTTTTATGCTACTTCCAACCTAGTTCATATTTCACCAAGAATACAAAATTAAAGCATAAAACAATCACTTTCATTCTAATTTTTATACTTATAGTCTTCCATTTATAATCAGGACTAGACAGCAGCCAATGAAAAGATATTTGGGAAATATTTTCAAAATCCATTATTGTTTAAAAATGGAAACTATAAGTTAATGATGAAAGCATCTCTTTGAAATTCTACAGGCTTTTGTGTCTGACCACAAGCAGCGACCTCTGGTATTTTCTGCCAAAACACTTCATTTGTCTCACAGAACAACTAATCAATTCCAGAGCCCATCAATCATTTCAGTTGTATACTAGGTCTGGTCTTGCTTAGAGAAGGTCCAGATGGCTGTCTGTGTAAGTGGAATTAATAAAATTCTAATAGATTACATGACATCGAACTACAAAATATAACAGGGAGGACCAAATCTTATTGCAGGGTGGTGTGGGTACTGTTCAATCTTCATTTACTATATTTTTAATTCTTGCCCTAATTTCTCAATTTATGTGCAAACTTCTAGATCAAACCTTTGAAGCATATAAGTAACCAGAAGCAATTTCTTGTATATGTAGTGAAGAATCATTTTACTCTACAAACCCCTATGCTTATTAACCAGTGCTTTTTCTGCCCATCTGCAGTATAAATGAAAAACACAGCTGATCTCAAAACTAGAGGTTACTCCCTGTTATAAGATGTGTTACTTTCTTGTTTCTATAGTTCTAAAAATATCGGCTCTCCCTTCCTTGTTTTCCATTTTCTTTTGCAAAAGCAAAAACTTGTATTTAATTATATAACCAGAATGCCATGTTATTTTAGCTCCTAACATCAGCTCCTTGCTCCTCTAGGGACCCCCTCTGCTGAGTAACAACACTATTTATAAAAGCTAACAGTTACACAGTAACTTTTTTTGCACCAGATACTGTTCCAGGATGTCTGTGTATTGACATAATCTGCTAAGTATCAAGTGAGACAAGTACCATAATTATCCCCATTTTACAGGTAAGTAACTTGCCCAAGATCACACAGCTAGTAAGTGGTGGAACTAGCATTTGAATGTCAGCAGTTTGGCTCCATAACTTTTTGTACTTAATTAGAATACCCCTACACCCCCTCAATTATATTACAGAACAATTAACTAGCTTCAGAATGAGAAACTGATGTCAGAGCTCTGCGATATTAACACAGAGATCTGAATCTCTGACATTATATTGATACTTTCTATGACAGAGTGGAAAGCAGGAAGCAAGCTCAGAATTGGCCCCCGTGGCCCTTGGCTCAAGAACATTTACCTTAAAACTAAAACTCATAACTCATCATCTATTATACAATACACATTCATCAGAAAAGCTGCCAAAACAATGGAACCCAAACTTAACCAAATGGATTTATTAGATACTGATTTGCCTGATCTTTACAAATGTAAAAAAAAAAAAAAAAAAAAAAAAAAAAAAAAATCTGGAGTTTATATATTAAAGTATCAAAACAAACCTTTAAAACACATTATTTTATGTCCTTTTTTAAAAACAACAGTTCCATAGAAAAGAATTTTTGCTTTCATCCAAGTCTACCATTTGATGCTTCTAAAACTCTAAAACCTACTGTCACTTTCACCTCAGTTAAACATAATTCTACCAAGAAATTGCAATTAACATCAATTAAAGCACAACTTTCTCTTAGAAAAATAAAACACACCAGATATATTTCACCAAAATACAAGCATAATTTGATTACATAACTTCAACAAATAACCCATTTTCATTGTTGCAATTGCATTCTGACATGTAAGAAACTATAGAGACTACATCTGGCTCTTCACTGGAATAATTCAACATTTCAGTATATAAGAATTTTCATGCCAGGCACAGCACCTCATGCCTGTAATCCCAGCACTCTGGGAAGCCAAGGCGGATGGATCACGAGGTCAAGGGATCGAGACCATCCTCGCTAACATGGTGAAACTCCACCTCTACTAAAAATACAAAAATGAGCTGGAACTACAGGCGTGATGGTGCGCGCCTGTAGTCCCAGCTACTCAGGAGGCTGACGTTGCAGTAAGCTGAGATCGTACCATTGCACTCCAGCCTAGTAACAGAGCAAGACACTATCTCCAAAAAAAAAAAAAAAGAATTTTCATTATGGCCTAATTTGTTATAATGGAATTCTACTACACTATAAAAAGAACTCTCCCAATACAAGAATATGATTAGTTGCTGTAATTTTTGATCTGCTGTAGTAACAAAATTACTGTGTTTGTAATAAATGGCTTTCAATGGCTTGTTCACATTCATGTTTCTTACTCTTTCTTAACATGTTAATATGTTCAGAATATGAAGATTTAGATGATATCATAAGACTGATACTTAATGAAGAATTCTTTTAAAAAAGGCCAAGTCTAACCAGTTTTGCCCACAAAGGTTCATATTTCATTCAATTAATATTTATTAAACATACTTTCATGAAAATGCCAAAAGTAGTATGAACATATTATTCAAAAGTGAAGAAGCTGAGAAGCACAAATATTCACAATGTTTTGTGTCATTACAGGTTCATAATAAATGTGTGTTGAATTAAAATCTCTACAAAAACAAACTATAATATTCTTTGTCATTGTTTATCATGGTCAAAATTCTAAATACTGATTTAAATCTAAGAATCGCTTCACTAGCAATTGGGTGGAGGATAAAGGAAGGAAGATTAACCCTTTCAACACAGTTTAATTCTATCTCAGGATTTCTACTCTCACTACAACTGGAGTACATTTGATTTGCTTCATGTTCTGTAGGGCTGCTGTGATCAGTCATGTCATCAGACATTCGAAAAGACACTGTATTCAGTATGTCATTTTGAAAAATACTAGAGTCTGGGAGCCCTTAAGGAAAATAGCATACAAAATAAAGATCATAATTTACAGAGAATTGATTGATATTGTTAGAAACTTAAGCAGTGACTTTTTTTAAAAGAAGGAAAGTCAAGAAACTATCTCAATTTATTTATCTAACTAGGAAAGAAAAATAGCCTATACATTTTTTGTTGTTTAAGGGAAAGAGGTGAGGATGGGCATATCGCAGAAGAACCAAACTAGCAGCTCTCAGTTTTACAATAGGGCTCTTAGGCTAACTCTGCAGAAGCAAGTCACTAAACTATCAGTTCTTCAACAGAAGCAGCTGTGGCTGCCTCCCAAGTTCTGAGCACTTTCACTGAAGATCTACTAAGTTTGGGGGACTTCCTCAGATAGTGAGAATGCAAAGATGGGTAAAATATGATCCTCACTTTCAAAAACTAAGTTAAAAGTATTTCTAGGTATACAGTTCAGTAGTGTTAAGTATATTCACACTGTTGTGCAATCTCCATAACTTTTTCATCTTGTAAAACTGAAACTCCGTCCCCATTAAACAACTTCCCATTTCCCCTATCCCCTAGCTCCTGGCAACCACCATTTTACTGCCTCTCTCATTTTTGAATACTTTCTGTTTCTGTGAGTTTGACTACTTCAAATACTTCATGTAAGTATAATCGCAAAGTGTTTGTGTCCTTATGACTTGTTTATTTCACTTAGCATAATGTCCTCAAGGTTCATACATGTTGCAACAGGTGTCAAAATTTCCTTTTTAAGGCTGAATAATATTCCATTGTATATACCACAATTCGTTTATCCATCCGTCAACAGATGCTTCCATCTATTGGCTACTGTATAGAATGCTGCTATGAACATGGGTGTGCAAATATGTCTTTGATATTCTGCTTTCTTTTGGATACATACCCAGAAGCAGAATTGGTGGATAATATGGTAATTCTATTTTAACTTTCCAAGGAAATTTCCGTTTTCCACAGTGGCTGTATCATTTTATACTCCAAAATGACTTCTAATTTAGAGCAAACTAAATTTTAATTAAACAAATTAAAAAATTAAAATCTTTAAAAGAAATAGTAGTATTTTAAGGAAAATTAACACAAAAATCCTTAGCTTTAGACTGAGATACAACATCTTGTCCCACCAACTACTTGTGTGGGGAAAAGCCACTGAATGAGACAGCTGTTATTAGACACTGATGAAAAGTAATTATTATCACTTATTCAGACACTTCTCTGGCACTGGTTCAGACATTTAATTGATTTTAAAGATTATATACCTAAAAACTTATTTCCTGTCATTTATTGTTCTGCTTGCAAATACCACCAAATCAGTTTCATGTTAAGAAGGAATGCTTCACAAATTGAAGAGTTCAGGATTAAAAACATGTAGTACATATATACACATACATATACATACACACACACACACACACACACACACACACAGAGGCTTATATATTTCTATTATCAAAGATCAGAAGAGAAATTACCTGATGGTTTCTTCATGATATAGAGAACTAATAACTGGCCCACCAAAACCAGTATTTGCTTCTTTTCCTTTCTTCTCTGGTATCTGTGGGAAGGGGGAAAAAAGTGAAAAAAAGACAAATGGGTTAAAACAGTATGTATTTAAATCAGTTACAAAATGTTATTTTGCTAAGAAAGACTAAGGATTTTACCCTCAACCATCTCTTCAAACCCTAGTAAAAATTTTAAGGTGGTAACAGAAAGGCAATAAGATTCTCAGTTCATCATAGGAGTGGAATGGGTACATGCTGGCAATCTAAGGTATTCAGTACAACCTTCTGGAGCCACCAAAAAACAATTCTCCTAGCTGACTGTGAGATGATGTTCAATGTGGTAAATATGGATATTCAGGTGAGGAAAAGAAAAACAAATCCTAGACATGAATGTGATCAGCAAAATCATATCTAGATTTATAAAATAAAAGTTCCCAAATAAGAAGCTACATTACAATAAAAGTTCAAATTTAATTACAAAGAAAATGTTTTTAGATTAAAAAAAAAAAAAAGGAAGGAGAAAAGATAGAAGAGGGATAGGAAAGGAGGTTTATATCTCAAATAAAAGAAAAAAGAAGTAAACTACACAGAAATACTTTCCAAACTCAAGGATTCAATAGGTCTTGCCCCCCTATGTTCTCAGAACAAGAATAAAATTAATTTAGGAATAAGATTCTAATTTACAAGAGTAAAATCAATTTAGTAATAAGATTCTTCTAAAATATGTAATGTGGAAGCAATGAACCTGGATAATACTGTCTGCAAGGATCAAAGTGCAACCTCTGCAAAGCCCCATGTATTGACAGCTTTTAGTACAGGACATCCTGCAAAAGTCAAAACTCTGATTCCGGACATAAATATTCCTTTAGAATCAAAATTACATTATGATTTAATTTGACTGCAAAAAGACTAGTTTTACTTCAAATAAAATACAGACAATCCCCACACACATTTTTTCAGTACTTAAGAGAAGTACGAGTTTTGTTTTATTTTTTTTAATTGTTTGTTTCAGTCTGTGGATCACTGGACTGAGGAAAAAGACTCCCCCCGCCCCCAGAGATAGCATATTCTATCTGTTCCTAACACACTAAGGCTTCAAAAAACGTAAAATTTTGAGATGAATCAAGTCAGTTATCAACTTGTAATAGAAACAAAGTTATAAAATCATAGACAACAACTATTAACATGATTAAATGACAAAGTATATAAAGTGTATTAGTATGATGCTAGCAAACAAGAAGCACTAGGTAAATGACAGATTTCTCTGTGCTCTGAGGGCCATTTTTAGAGAATAAATGCTATGAAGATTTCTGGGATAGATAATGTATTTCTTTATACCCAAAAAAAGTAGAGATGATCCCCAACTTACAATGGTTCAATTTACAACATTTTTGACTTTTAATGGATTTATCAGTATGTATCCTCATTATAAGGTGAGGGGTACAAAGGGAGAACTTATTTTACTTAATCCAATTATATTCCAAATACATGCTCCATTCATAGGATAAAACTAAAACATACTTGGTGCTCGAGATGATAACTACATAAATAAAACTAAAAATGAGAAAACTGGATACCAAAGGAAAAAAAAAATAGAGATAGAACCAAGTATGAAGTGGCAAGCATAGCTTCTTAAAAAATAATGACTCCTAGAAGGTAACATGGGGGAAAATCTAGGTGATATTGGGTTTGGCAATGACTTTTTACATGCAATATCAAAATCCATGACAGGCCGGGTGCAGTGGCTCACACCTATAATCCCTGCACTTTGGGAGGCTGAGGCAGGTGGATCTCTTGAGGTCAGGAACCAGCCTGGCCAACATGGCAAAACACTACCTCGACTAAAAATACAAAAAACTAGCCAGGCATGGTAGTGCATGCCTGTAGTACCAGCTACCTGGGAGGCTGAAGCACAAGAATTGCTTGCAGAAGTTGGATGCAGAAGTTTCAGTGAGCCAAGATCACACCACTGCACTCCAGTCTAGCAACAGAGCAAGATTCTGTCTCAAAAAATATATATATATAATCCATGAGAGAAAAAAATGATTAGTAGGTCTTTATTAAATTGAATTAAAATTGAAAATTTCTGCTCTGTGAAAAATATTGTTCAGACAATGCAATGACCAGCCATAAACTGAAAAAAAATTTGCAAAACACATATCTAATAAAGAACTGGTATCCAAAATATTCAAAGAATTCTTAAAACTCAACACTAAGAAAATAAGTTACCCAATGAAAAGTGAGTAAAAGATCTAAATAGACAACTTATCAAAGAAGATACAGAGATAGGAAATAAGCGAGTGACAAGATGTTTAAACATCATGTCATTAAAGAAACGCAAATGAAAACAAAAATGAGAAACCACTACACACCTATTGGAATGGCTAAAATCCAATATGTCCTTAAACAGATTAATAAACAAATGATACACCCATAAAATAGGATATTATTCAGCAACACAAGAAATGAGCTATTCTAGGTTAACTTAGAAAAAAGAAGTCAGGTAACTCAGAAATGAAAGTGGCGATATTACAATTAATGCCACAGAAATACAAAGAATCATAAGAGATAACTATGAACAATTATATGCCAAAAAACTGGATAACCTAGAAGAAATGAATAAATTTCTGGAAACACACAATCTACCATGACTGAATCACGAAGAAATTAAAAATCTGACAGACCTATCACCAAGAAAGAGACTCCATCAGTAATTAAAAAAAAAAAAAACTTCCCAACAAAGAAAAGCCCAGAACCAGATCACTTCACTGGAGAATTCTATCAAATTTAAAGAATTAACACCAATCCTCTTCAAACTTCAAAATAATTAAAGAAAAGGGAACACTTCTAACTCAATTTATGAGGCCTTATTCTCATATCAAAGCCAAAAATACTGCAAGAAAACTAAAACCAATATCCCAGGATATTGATCAGAAAAATCAACTAAATATTAACAAACTGAATTTAACACTGTATTAAAAGGATTATACATCATGATCAAGTGGGATTTATTCCTGGAATGCAAAGATGGTTCAACACACAAAAATCAATCATATAACACAGCATATTAACACAATGAAGGACAAAACCCACATGATCATCTCAATTGATACAGAAAAAGCATCTGACAAAATTCAACATGTGTTCATGATAAAAACACTAAATAAACTAGGAATAGAATAAAACTACCTCGACAGAATAAAGGCCATATATGAAAAGGCCACAGCTACCAACATACTCAGTGGTGAAAAACTAAAAGCTTTCTCTCTAAGATCAGGAACAAGGCAAGGATATCCATTCTCATCACTTCTTTTCAAGATGGCATCCAAGCCAGAGTGATCAGACAAATAAAAGGCATCTGTGGTGTTATGCTGTGTGTGTGTGTGTGTGTGTGTGTGTGTGTGTACAGAGAGAGAAAGAGCGAGAGAGAGAGCACGCACACAAGAGATTTGTTTTTGTCCATGGTTCCTGACTTCTAACTCCTATAGCCCTTGTTACAGTCTTTCATTATATAATTAGGTGTGTCAGGCCTCAAGAGCAAGCCTCAGAAAAGAGAATCTATGGGACTTTCTCCTGCCCTCCTTTTACCTGCCCCAAGTTACACTTTCTGATTGTGGGTCACAATCCCCAGAGAGAGTCCTGCCCTATACCCTAGGGGAAGGAATACTGACATCATGAAACCCAAGAGGAATGGGTGCTGGGAGCTTGGGGATAGAAGAACACATGGAGGTCCCTGGAGGGTGGCATGCCCAGAGAGAGGTCATGAAAGCTCCATGTTCCCTCCTCCATGCCTCACCCTACACATCTCCTTGTAATCCAATAATAAAATTCTAAGCCCTACAACCAACTGGATGAACCCCTCCTCTCAGCTAAGGTTTCTCCAAAGAAACCCGAAAACCTAGCTCAGGCCACGATGGGAAGTCGGGTCTGGACATGCCTCATTATACTTTCCTCCCTTTGGTATTCAGGAACAACTGACCAGCATTAACATTAAAACAAAGATCTTACAACTGACAAAAAAGACTCTTTGTATCAATAAGATATCAAATTCCAACCCGACTCCAGCATAGCATCACATGACAGAAAGCGGGCCCTGGATGAAATCAAAATATTTTACCCCAAAATATATTTGACATATTTTGAAAAGGCCCTGCAAAGCCATCTCTTAAAAGGGAAATTTTACATTATGTAAAGAATCCTCTTTCCTTTCCAGGCCTTTTTCTGATCCTAAAGAGATGAGCTGAGAGATCTGAAGAATCTTTTAAAGATCTGAACAGGAAACAATTGTCATCTATTGCATCTAACAGTGGCCACCTATGAGACTTCATCTATATAGAAAGAACCTTGGTCTCCACAAACCCTTAACTCAGATATTCCTTTCTATTGATTCCAAGCTTTTAGATAATAACTTAACTCTCAACCAACTGCCAATCAGAAAATCTTTGAATCCACCTATGACCTACATATAAGTCTCTGCTTCGAGTTGTCCTGCCTTTCCAGACCAAACCAATGTATACCTCACATGTATTAATAAACCAGGAATAGAATAAAACTACCTCAACAGGCCATAGCTGCCACTGAGCCTGCCACCAATGCCTCTAAGCAGAAGGTGGTTGTGGCACCCACAAATGACAATCTTGGCAAAACTGAAAGGGATGTCTTCACCAAGGTTTATGGATTTGGCTTAATAAAGCTTGATTTGAAAGCAAAATCTGAGAATGAAATGGAATTCACAAGCTCAGCCTCAGCCAACACTAAGACCACCAAAGTGATGGGCAGTCTGGAAACCAAGTACAGATGGACTGAGTACGGATGGCCTGACGTTTATGGAGAAATGGAACACCAACAATACACTTGGCACTGAGATTACCGTGGAAGTTCAGCTTGCACGTGGACCGAAGCTTACCTTCGATTCATCTTTCTCACCTAACGCTGGGGAAAAAAAATGCTAAAATCAACACAGGGTACAAGTGGAAGCACATTAACCTGGGCTGCGACATGGATTTCGGCATTGCTTAGGCCTTCCATCCAGGTGCTCTGGTGCTAGGTTACG